ATTTTATACTTATTGAATGTACCTAGTTTATCGGAAAATACACTAGCATATTGCATTTGTAACTGTTCAGTTATGTTTGAGGACTGTAAACAATAATTCACTGGCAGAATTTCCAATTCATATAAAGATATGAAATCCCTACCCAAAAGTGGTGGACCGCCGTTTCGTATTACATACACATCTAGCGTATGCGTTTTGTTCGAATATGTGAACGGCAACCGTGCAACTCCTATACATTCAATATTATAGCCAGTATAAGAAAGAAGCCGTCTATTTGTTTTGAGCAACGACACCTCACTAAATAATCTTAAATAAGTTTTTTCGGAAATAGCAGTGACAGCTGACCCGGTGTCGACCTGAAACTTTAATCGCACTCCCCGGACGTATACAACGTCCCACATAGGCTCACCGTTAATTGAACGAATGTTATAAAACTCACCGTCATCATCGCCGTTATCATCCACCCTCTCGTTTCCCACATAATTTACTTTTTTACACATGCGTCGCAAATGGCCTTTTACATTACATTTTTGCATTTATAGTTAGCGAATTTACATTGAGACGAGGTATGATTCTTAAACCCGCAAACCGTGCACAACACTCTATGGGCCGTGACATTGTTATCAGCGATCTTAAAACAGCTGATCACTGCGTGGTATCGTCGTCACTACCGACGCCGCCGCAGCGGCTACGCGTGCGCAGCGCACTCCTTCTGCTAGCGAGACTGCTTCTACCAGCGACAAAGAATTTGGATCCCGAGCAAACAGCTTCTCCCGCTCCGCTCCCGGCAGCATTCCCATCACAAAACGGTCCCGTAATGCTTCCTCCACGTTTAGAAATCCACAATTCGCGGTCAAACCGCTGTAGTCCTTGCCGCCCATTGAGGGTAAGTTTCTCCGTCCGATTGTACTGCGGAATAAAACTTGTACCTCTCGCTGAAGCCACATACTTGGGGTATAAGATGATTATCTAAAAGTTTTAATATATCCTCGTAAGGCACTACTTGGAGATCTTTGGGCAACGCCAAATCCGCTACTAGCTTGTATGTCGGTTCGCTGAGTGCACTTAACAAAATCGCCCGTCGCTTGACGCCCGCGGAATCTGAGGTCGCAGAGACATCGTTCGCGATGAACCACTGCGCCAATCGTCCCTTGTACTCGCGCCACGATTGCAAATTGTGATCGAAACTCGATAATAACCCGAAAAAACCCTGCGACATGATTTTCGGTTTTTACTAGGAACTTATTTTATTTTTTTGAAGAAATAAAAGTGGGTAAATACTCGTCGCCACTGTTACGTATGTGGGAACAAGTGAAACGCGTGCAGGTTGAGTGCGTACTGCCGTTTATTCGCATAAACAATAGTGTGCGCAGACACTATAGACACATAGATATAGATATATATATATATATAACATTTATACATTGCAATTCAATGCATTAATACATTTATAGACATATACATATTTACATTATATTGGATTAATTCCAATGCATTAATACATTTATAGACATATACATATTTACATTATATTGGATAACGACTGTAATATTTTATTACGTATTCTTTGTTTCTATAATTTACTTTAGTGGCCTTACTATGTTCGAATCGTCACACACAGATTCTGAGGGCTTATTAGCTAGTAGTGATGACGAGAGTTTTTTGAGTGTCCCTTCTCTGATCGACTTATTGACTAGTCAGTTCTCTGGCGTATCAGGTAACTTTAATGTTGTTCACATCAATGCCCAGAGTATTCCGGCTCATTTTCCTGATATGCTGGCTTCCTTAAACTGTACGAACATCCACGCCATCTGTGTCTCCGAAACATGGTTAAAGCCCTGTCTTCCCTCAGCCTCCTACTCATTACCTGGCTTTCAACTCATTCGGAATGACCGCACGTGGGGCGGCCATGGTGGTGTAGCCATCTATCTCAGAGCGCATATTCCACATTCTGTTGTGAGTATGTCTACACAACCACAACCGCCTCCGAATGCTGGCGAGCACCTCTTCCTGGAGGTTGAACTCCATCATAACAAAATACTACTCTGTACTTATTACTGTCCCTCTTCCCACATTGACTTCTTCTCTTCCCTAGATAATCTCTTAGAATCCTTTACTCCTTCCTATAGTCATACCATCCTCGCTGGCGACTTTAACACTTGTCTTCTTAAAAGTGATTTCCGGTCCTCCTCCTTTCGTGACACATTAGAATCGAACAATCTCTCCATTCTTCCTCTGAGTGCCACACATCACTTCCCAAACTGTACCCCCTCACTCATTGACATCATCGCTGTTTCGTCATCTGAACGTGCAGCCTGTCACGGCCAATTTTCTGCGGATGCTTTTTCATACCACAATCTTCTTTTTCTATCCTATAAAATCCGCACACCAAAAATTAAACCTACAATCCTCCTGCAACGCAATTTTAAAGCCATAAATGTAACCAAGCTCTGCATGGATGCAAGCAGTATTGACTGGGGTCGTTTATATGAATTGGGTTCCATTGACCAAAAAGTAGACTTTTTCAATAATACTCTGATCAGTCTATACAGCATACACGCTCCACTGCGCAAAATAAAAGTCAAGCATCTGCCATCTCCTTGGCTTACTGCAGATACAAAACTCCTCCTGTCTAAAAAATCCGCAGTTAAGTCCCGATTTAAGTGCTGTCCAACTAGTACAAATTGGGAGAAATACGTCGCAATTCGGAATCGCTGCAACAAGGTGTGTAGGAATGCACAACGCCAATTTATCCATACCTCTGTTGAACATGGGGATCCGGCCAAGGTCTGGCAGTTTCTTCGATCATTAGGAGTTGGGAAGTCACGGCAACATACGGCTTTCAAAAACGTAAATACCGAATTGATGAATCAACACTTCTCTACGTCGTCTCCTTTTGACGGGACAACAAAAAATAACACGATACAATATCTTTCTTCTCTCCCAACTCTAGACTCTCCTACATTTGTCTTTAGTCAATTTTCCGATTGTGATGTTAGGAACAGCATACTCTCTATTAACTCCAACGCAGTTGGTAGCGATGGTATCAGCCCTGATATGATCCTGCCTATCCTAGAAGAAGTCATTCCTCTCCTTGTTCACATATTTAACTTCTCCATGGCAACCGAAAACTTTCCAACTGCTTGGAAAGAAGCATTAGTAACTCCATTACCTAAGAAATCAAATCCATCCAGTTTCTCCGATTATCGTCCGATTTCTATCCTACCCTTCCTATCTAAAACTCTCGAACGTCTTGTCTACAACCAAATTAATCCCTATCTTTGTAAAAATTCCTTTCTAAATTCCCTCCAATCTGGTTTTCGTCCTGGAGATAGCACCACCACCGCACTGGTTCATATCACGGACGATATACGGTCAGGCTTTGAGGATGGCAAGCTAACTGTGCTGGCGCTGCTAGACTTTAGTAACGCCTTTAACACTGTTGACTTCGACGTCTTGCTTGCCATAATGTGCTCTCTTAACATATCTCCGACGGTTGTTGACTGGTTTCGTAACTACCTGTTCGGGCGTCGGCAGCGTATTCGAATCGATGAAAGACTCTCTGGTTGGTGCACTACAACTGCCGGCGTACCACAGGGTGGCGTTTTATCTCCCTTGCTCTTCGCGGTTTTTATAAACTCTATTTCCAATAACTTAGCTTCATCTTACCACCTTTATGCAGACAATTTGCAGATCCATGCTCAAGCACCCGTGGAACAACTAGGAGCAGCGATCTCGATTATTAACCGGGATATAGAGCAGATTTGTACGTGGAGCAGGCAACACGGGTTAATAGTGAATCCATCTAAAACACAAACAATCATTATCGGTGGCACTAGGACATTATCAAAAGTCGATTGGTCACATCAGCCCCAAATATACTGCGATGGGGCCTTAGTTCCGATCTCGAACACCATTAAAAATCTGGGAATTCACCTGGATAAAAACTTGTCCTGGGGTCCGCAACTACAAGAAGTCAGTAGGAAACTGTTTGCTTCTGTTGGATCTCTGAGAAGGCTGCGTAACTTTTTACCAATTACGACCAAAATTGCGCTTGCAGAATCCCTTCTTCTCCCAATCCTTGACTACGCAGATACCAGCTATCCCGATCTCACCGAAGACCAACTTAATAAGGTTGAGCGGCTCCAAAACTTTTGCATAAGGTTCATCTTTGGATTGCGCAAATTTGACCATATTTCTGAATTTCGGAATAAGCTTAACTGGTTACCCATTCGTCTTCGCCTGAATATTCATATCCTTTCACTATTATACAATATTCTCTTTAATCCCAACACTCCCCTTTATTTAAAGGAACGCTTCAGATTCCTACGTGATACGCATTCAAAGTCCTTAAGATCGTCAGAGAGTCTTGACTTTGGAAATGCCGAAGCATACCTCGACTTTTATGGACAAGTCATTTACAGTGCAGTCTATACGCTTGTGGAATACATTGCCACTGCCCATCAGACGAGCACAAACAAACAAACAAACTGCAACCCCCTATCTCACTCCTATTCTCCTTCTCCATCCAGTGGTTGGCTGGAAGAGATCGCAAAACGCGATAAGGCCGCCAATTGTACAAATTTTAACATTTTACTCTCCACGTTACATTAATTTAACTTTAGATATAAGACACACAATGTATACAAACTGATTTCTTCTTTTCATTATGTTTTTTGTACAATAAAGAGTTATCTATCTATCTATCTATCTAATACCGCAACAAACCGTTACTAGCGTCCCTCTTTCAGCTGACGTTACTTGCCCAACTTGCTTAGTGCCTCTGAAAGCAATCACTTTCTGGGTTCGTTGTACGGTTGATAATCCAGTCTCGTCTATATTGTAAACAGACTCAGGGCCGAAGCGATGCCGTTCATATACAGTTTTAAGGTTTTCAAAAAAATCTCCGACATTTTTCTTATTGAAACTTGTGGCCCGTGAGAAACTGGTAGCTTCTGGTGTCCTTATCAAAAGCTGCGGTTGTCTTTTAAAAAATCCCCTTATCCAGTCTTTGGATGCAAGTTTCTTCGCTGTCCAGTTATCTGGTTTTTTTTTTCAATGGCAGTGGCGTATTCGTAAACCAATTCGCGTGCCTTCAGTTTTGACAGTCCATGGTTTAGTTTAGATGATGTTACAAAATATTCCGAAATTTTTTCTTCTTCATCTTTCGTGAATATTTGAGATGATATAAATTTAGAAGAAATATCTTTCACACCGCCACCTTTATGTATCTTTGACCTGGGTGTATCATATTTAATCGCAGTAGTTTTAATTTTAACACCTTTAGAAACCTCCTCCAATGCGCGCAAAATAATATCTTTAGGGATTTCACGTCGCTTATTTTTCTTTTTAAATGAAAACGGCATTGTCCTGAAAAGAAATGATTAACCATTCAACCCAATAGGCATAAAAAAGCACAAAAGTATGACTGCAAAATACACTAAAAACAGAGGGAGTATTGGGCATGCCCAAACCTCCCTCCTACCTGCGTGCCCAATGCTCCCCATAACCTCACTTTTCAAATAGATTTGAATAAGTTTATTTTTATCAAATGTTGAATCCTAATTTACAGGTAAATATAATCTTCATTAAACACAAAAGAAGAAGTTAACACAGATACTTACACTTGCAGATTTCATTGTTATGCTTCTTCAAATCAGAAACAAAATATTTACTTCTGTACGCAACAAACCGTTAAGCACATGTAGCGTAAGCGGTGGTAGGCGTAACACGTGTAAGCGGTGTTGCCAGTTATTAAACTATAGTGCTGTAGTAGAAAACAAAAAATATCTAGAATAGATTTTGAGAAATGAGGGGGTGGGTGCCCAAACCTCCCGTCTGCCCAATGCTCCCCTACCTCCCCTACATTTTTGACTGTGTTTGCATTGGAAAAGGATTAGGTATACTCGTAAAATATGATTAAAATTAGAACAAAGTCAAACAAACAAATAGAGTACTTTAAAAAAAGTTTTGCCACCAATTTTGTTCGAAGTCTAATACTCTCTTTAGTAAGCCAATGTTAACGAATAAGGTTGTACGTTAAATATGTGCAATAACGAACTAGTCTCTCTAAATCGCAATAAAGAACTAGCTTTCAAATATCTCTGTTTCAAGTCTTATAAAGAATTAAGCTTAAACTTTTTATAAGAACCATCAAACAGCACACTCCATAAACATTACACGATAGTAAGTAGTAGTTTGTTCGGATAGTACTGACACAGCATAAAACAAGGGATTGCTAGTTTTTACACAGGCCGATACGGACACTCACACCCTTATCTCCGCTGGGGTAGGCATTAGGTAGGTGTATTAAACGTCTACGCTTTGCTGACTATAACTTAATTCAACTTACATGTTATGGACCAAAACTATTGCCGCCAATGAGTCATTTTACTAAGAGATCAATAAGACATGAACCACTATTTCGTTTCAATTGCAATTACATGACCTTTATCATGCTGTTTATATAATTAAATGTAACAATGGAAAAATAAAGCTTGCTTTGTTAAAGAAAACAAAGACAAATTCCTTTCCTCACATTAAAAATACACCTCGAAGATTCTCTGAAAGTTGAATTAATAAAGTAGTGAAAGGAAATTAATAAAGTAGGTAGAGTTCACTAAAAGTATCAAAAGTAAGCAATATTGAACGTTATGCTTGCCACGAAGAATGGGTGTCGTGTTGTTCGTAATTGTTAATTAAGTTCGTTTCTAAAATCTCAACTTATAAAACAGAAAACTGTGTATCGGATTCTTTCTTTAAAATGAACACGACTACTTCGATTAAACAATAACTTGACATGAAATTACAGACTAAACAATACTTAAATATTATAAGATGTTATATATTTGTGTATGATTGATATTCAAATTAAAATATACTAAACTCAAAAGGGAATACTTTTTTTAACAAATATTTTTAAATTATTATCAAATGTTTATTGTCTATCGAGTCATCAATCATCAGAGTTGTTTCCAAAATAGTCGAAATCTCCAGAACAAAGGTTGTATATTTACTGTTCTAAAAATTGTTTTAAGCATTCATAGCAACTTACTTTTTAATACTGTATTATCTGCCAGTACTCATTTTTGTACTTGTAGATCATTCAATTTTATCTATACACATATAACACAATACTTATTTTACTTTAATATACTATATTTACAATGTGTAAAACACATACATATTCATCATCACATCAACAGCCTATACTAGTCCACTGCTGGACATAGGCCTCTCCTTAGAAAGGAGGTTTTTGGCCTACTATACCACGCTGGCCAGACGGGTTGGTATAGGGTTTGTTTCAAGTTTTCCTTCTCTTTGCAGTGCTGTTGTCCTGCTTAGTTTGCTCCCTTAGTCGGCTCTTACGACACCCACGGGATGAATTGGGGTGGTGACAATTTGTATTCTTAATCCGTCACCACACGGACTACATACATATTAGTCAAAACAAATTATTCGTAGAAGTCTAACACTTTCTTTGTAGTTTCTATACATTATTCTAATAGTAATTTGTCATACTTAAAGTGCAAACCAATCCATACTTCCATACTTTCCATGCTTATATTATAAATGTGAAAGTGAGTTTATTTGTTTGTTACGATTTCACGCCTAACCTAAACCAATTTTTTAAATTCTTTCACCAATGCAAAGTTACATTATCAGCGAGTAGCATAGAATACAGTGGTGTGTGATTTTGTGATTTTACCGCTATAATTGACATACACGCGGGCGGAGCTGCGGACAAAATACTGCTAGTATGTCATAAACTTCATAATTATTATGAAACAAAGCTACCTGTCTTGATAAATATACTTTGTTCACGACAGTACAAGCTCTACCGATCAATAAAATAAAATATACGAGTAAAAGTAACAGATTGATTAAAATGTATGTGAAAGTAATTCTTCTGTCCCTCGGGAATTATACTTTTACCTGCATAAAGGGGATCCTGTATCTATCTCTGGCGATGGATCCACAAAATTTCATGATAATCGGATAAACGGCACATACAATACGAACTTATAAACATTGATTCTTCTACACATATAGGAATTTTACTTAGTTATGGTTAGTTTTTGTTAGTCGCAACAGTTGACTAACTGACTTAAGTCAAGTTATTTTTGTTTCAAGTTTAACTTTATTCTTAATACTCGCTTGTCGTCTTTTCAAATTTGTATTTCCTCGTATACAATATATACGAAAAAGAATCAACTCCAAATATTATACATTTTCAGAAAACACGCCGTTAAACAAAACTTACTACAAATAAAGAAAATAGACCCCTATTTCTAGGTACATCTTACAATCTTATATTGTATACTGTTATTGTTATTAGCTTTATTTAATCCCTTACATGTATGTATTTCTTATCTACTATTATGTATGCTTATTTATTTATTTGTTAGTAATGTTAGTTTTGTTTTTAAATAAGGTTAGTATTGTTAGGTGTAAGGGCCGCCTTTTGCGGTGAAAGCCTCCTCCAAACCATTTTACTTTTCTTTAGACACATCAGGGCCCTGTTTAATAAACGTTACAAATTGCAAATATATTTTACAAGTCACAAATCTACAAGTTTCTGTTTAATAAACAATACAACTTACAAATTTACTTGAAAATGATGAAAAACTGTCAAAATTTCTGTTGAATAAACATTTTCTCTTTAAAAGTTTCAATTTACCTATTTGTAAGGAAAACTGTTTTATTGAACGCATAATTGTAATTACAAATTTACATATTTTTTAAATTGTAAAACAATCCCGACATTAACTTCTGTCAGAACTTAAAAATTTTGTACCTCAATTTAATAAGTCAAGAAATTTAATTATTAAATTATACATTATAAAATGGTTCTAATAACTAGTAGTGGAAGTAGTGACGCTTCATTTGCTAATGATCTGAGATTGAATGTAGATATATAATATTTTTTTAGGTTTGGAGGGTGGTCGTCTACAACCCCCGCGGTGACGAGCCGTTCTGGGGGAGGATTTGTAGGTTTTGTGTTTGTCTTTGAAATATAACGTTTGTTTTTTGTTTTAGAGGGTGCAGTGTTTTCATTTTTCTGGAGTTTTCTTAATTACTATTCATCAGAATCATTTGAAGAGTAAGGAGTTTCCCTTTCCTCGGGTTTTTTACTTGAAATAACATTTTGTTTAGTGAAGAAATTTTTCATAGAGCTCTGATTTTTTCCCATTTTATATGTTTGAGTTTTATTCTTTTTTATTGCTTGTTTTTTTGCGGTGTTCTTGTTTGAATCTATTAACTGGTGGGGAGGGGTTGTTTCTAACTCTCTCTTTTTCCTAGTTTTTTCTGTTTCGGTTTTGTTTGTCTTTTCTTCTTCTGTTTCGCTGATATCTTTCATAGATGGTTCACGAACTATAAGTTTGTCGTATCGCAGGAAGGCTATTTTTCCGGCTTCCTTCTCTTTTATATTTCTTGTTTTTCAAAATTGTAATCTTCCTGCCGTACGTTGTAAATGTTACGACGATAGGTCTCACTTTGTCTTTTAAGTATTTTCCCATTCTCCGGACCGTCTCTAATTCTTTTCTGTCACATTCCAGCCTAAGCTCGTCTTTAATAGTTTGTAACACGGTTCCTTCCAACTCCTGATATGATTTTTCACCTTCTTGTACCCCAAAGATTATGACATTCCTTTGCCTAATGTGTTTTTCTATGGCACTAATTCTTTTGTCATGTTTGGAGTTAGTTTCCTTAATTTGTTCAAGTTCCCTTTGTAAGAAGTTAAAATTTTGGTCTATTTTATCATTTATTTTACTCGTGATAATGGTCTCTAAATTCAGCAGTGATTCTTCAGTGTCTCTTTTAATATCTGGTCTTAGTTCTTTTAAAAGTTTTTCTATTTCCGACATAGTGGCGCCCTCTGTTTATTTATTTATTTTATTTATTTATTTATACAACAAAAATAAATAAAATAAATAAACATATGAAGCAGAGGAGGAGTAAGAGATTAGAATAGGGAAGTGGACACTACCAAGGGAGTTAGGAAGGGGAGACCAGGATAGGTGGGATACTAGGGCAGGAGAAGATAGTGAAAGATCTGAGACACTAATATTTTGAGAAGGAGAAACTCTACGGGTTGCAGATCCATCATTAAGAATGCACAAGTAACAATCATCCATAGCATCAAGTAAGATAGAAGAGTGTGAGTCAATACAGGCAGAGCCCCATAGAGTGTGACGGCAGTTAAAGTCACCTAGAACTAACTAGCGATGACCGGCTGGAGAGCCTCCACGGCGGCGAAGCCAGCGCGTGGAGTCTATAGCCGGAACGACCATCTCACCATGGTGGCTCGGCGAGCGGCTTCGCGCCACTCGCGCACGTCTTCGGGCGGAGGGCGAAATCCGGA